CCCATGTGCTGTGTTTACTTTCACAGAAGAGAAATATAGTAACTATCTGGTCTCTCTGCAGGTGCCTGTAACAGCAGCTATGTACTGTCATTTGGGCAGTCACTTATGAAAATGTTAAATTCAACTCACTTTCAGAAATGTTTTGATATTAACTACCCTGAAAACTGTTTTTATATTTTTTAGAAAACACCTGGTCAGCTTTGGTGTGGTAATTGCTAACACAGTTGGTAGTAACAAACATTATACACCTCAAAGTTCCCCCATAATTTTTCCAGTGTGAACTACATTGTAAAAAGCTGTTTTGAGTGAGTACTTAGAATGCAATTGAGGGGGGCATTTTATTCCTTTCCATTGTAGTTTTGACTTTGGCTATTAAACCAAAGTCACCACCCAGCACAGGAGAAATAGATACGCTCATGGAAGTGTGATTCAATTTAGATAAAAGCAACCACTAGGTGTCATGCTATACAGTAACATGCATTTTTTTGTTCAACCAAACGCCAATAAAAATAGTTGTTAAAGTGTCCTTTAAATGCCATGCCAAGTTTTATTGCTGTGTTTAATGAAATGTCATTTTCTTTACGATCAAAAAGCAGCAAGTTTCTTACACATGAGTGAGACTTTGCAGACAGACCAACTTTAACCGCTGACACCGTGCTAACATGTCAACTTCACATTTCTGTCCAAGCAGTTTTATTAAATGTCAACTTTGGATCAGCTGGAGCTGAAGACGCAGCACCTCCAGATTTGTCTTTACAGTGCAGATTTTTTTGCGTGATGACAGAGGAATGTACATTAAATGTGTATATAAGGCGATGCCTGCAGGATGTTAAGTCAGTCATGATCCTCATGTCTGATTGTTTAATGCATCCTGTGATATGCAATAAGAAAGTGAAGGTTACTGCCAGTGGGCAAAACTTTGTCACACCACAGAATAACACGCCATCTAAATACTTTGACAGATGTTTTATTGCCATGCATGCAAGGGCATACTTCATGTTAAGCACACAAGCTTGAGTATTAAAAATGGAGTAAGTGATTCTAATCTAATACACATGCAAACATCTCCTCATGGTCCGCTAGCTTCCTGTTCATGTGCATATACTAAATGCATTTTCACAAAGAGGAGATGGCTGAGGAATAGCCAAAGCAGAGAAGGTTAGAAGAACAAAAATTGAAAAAGAGGTGGTACAATCAGGCAAGGGCGAAGAGCCCCGTTCCAATGGTGGAGACTGCACGGTCAGACTGCCAAAGAAATTCAGTCCAGGGAAACTGTCTCATCCTCTCTGCATGTGAGCTTTGCAGCAGGAACTGTAGCCACTGTTTGCTAAAACAAAATAAAATCACCAATTTGCTAGCACAGTGGATTTATTTGGTGAGGTGTAGAATTTGAAACGCTATGCCCGGTAACATTAACTAACTTGTTTGCTTAGCAGCAAACCTGTCCTCTCTTCTGTCAATGTAGTTTTGTAAAAACAATTTAAACTCTCGCTAGTTTTTACTAAATTGCGTTTGGGATGTTTGCTTACATGTCATTTGTTTGATGACATTTTATATTACAAGGTTTGTTGAGAAAGAGTATCCACCTTCCACATCATATAAGACACTGTGGATTCCGCCATTGTGTCGTTGCCTTGGCAATGCAGGCCCATTAATTTGAGAGGCAGAGCTTCTGGCGGCGCACTGCAGGGAGGGGTGTATTTATTTTACTGTCTTGCTCCAGTATCACTTACATCGCCTTTAAAGGTGTGTCGTTTGCCACAGACAGCATTATATTCATACGTAACGTGTTCCATTACCATTCTCAAGTTTCTTTTTGTGGGCATGCAGTGTTTTTCACACAAGTATCTCAGCAATCTCCCACTCACCTGAAGAGCTTTTGAACCAAGACAGTTGGTTTTACTGTGGATAAACTGAACTCCCAGGTGTGAAAGATCTAATTGTTTAAACTTTGGTTGCTTTTCAAGAGCAGCAGTTTTATGATACATAACTGAGATCCCACTTAACACAATGACGCATTTTATTCCTGCACTGTCAAGACCTCACTCATCCGGAAGCAGGTTTCACCAAGCAAAGATCATTGAATCCTTCTCTTAGTCATTTTCAAGCACACGCAGTTTACAGTGACATTTATCCTTCTGCTTTGTCATCTCCTCAGGTGCTCTGCCACTGAAATAAAATATCAAATTCAATGCTGTGTGTCACATGCAGTGTAATTTCGCATTTTTGTGTGTATATCCTTTTACTACAGTCATGCCACACCACAAACAGAGAAAGGTTTCCACATAACATGTTTGAACTTGTGGCATTCAGCTCTGTTCTACATGAAGGAGAAGGGATTATGATGATGATGATGATCGCTGAGTAAATCTTTCCATTTAACAACAACGTGGAATGAAAATGTCGTGTGTTCATATCTCTGCCCCTCTTATAATCTACTCATCTCTGACAGTCGTCTTTGATTCTGAGTAACTAACATCAGCGTTTTGTAATATAACAAAGTGAAAAACATAAATATCACCAACGTAACTAATTTACAGAAGCATATTCCAGTTGCAATCCAAACTATGTGTGGCAGGGATGTTAACTACAGTGTTTTCGGGTGCTGTGAGAGAAAATAAACAGAATCCCTGCAAATGTCTACATGTTTTCATCTGCATTTGGAACTCATCACTTACCTGGGAACACTGCCACACAGAAGCTATTCTCCCCGCCCATCCAGAATCCGGTGGGGAAAACTATTTTTAGCTACGTTTTTCATTTCACTCTAATTGCACCAAAAAAAAAAAAACATCCCCCAATCAGAACCTTTTACAGCAAGTCTTAGTTGAATGCTCACACTTTCCTGCATTATTCAAGCAGCACAAACAGATTCATAGACACAGATTAATACTGACAAACACACAGTACACATGCACACAAACACTACTGATGTAAACACAGGCAACCATCCATGCATTATGTTAATTATGTATACTTCACTTTTTGATACACCCTCCTCCCTCCTTAGTGTTATGTTTGCATACTTGGCTAATGAATTATTTTCCAATGATAACTTTTATCTAATCTAACTACATAATAAAACATTATATTGGCTGTACTGAAGTGATTGCCACCTGTTTGCTGAAGGTGACCACATTCTGATATGGGCGGACTCCTCTCACCTTACGTTTAAAACTTCTTATCTGCATAATTGGAATTTCATTGCCACACTTGGAGGCATGATATGCTGTGCAGGGTCACACAGGGATCCATCCTAGGACCTCTACTTTTCAACTTCTATATGCTTCACCTTGACTACATTATTAGCAAAAATTTGCTTTAAGTTATGCAGATGACACACAGCTTCTTATCTCACTATTCCACAATGATTTGTAATCAACAGTTTGGATGAAATGAACGACTGGATGGTTGTAAATGTCCAACAGCTGAATAAGGAGAAAACTGAGCTTCTGGGTGTGGGTGCTAAAGCTCGTAGGCAGCTGGTCTGTGAGTACTTGCAGTCATGGTTATTAAAAACAAGCAAATAAATGGCATACTTAGGCATACTTATGATTGGTGAACTTAGTTTCTGGACTCATATCACAATAGCATCACTTCAGTCACCTTTTACCAGTTAAGAAATGTCTAAGTTCTAACTGGGAAGAGAAAAACATCAGACCACATTACTTTGGTCTTCAAACAGCTCTTTAGCATGTATACATGCCTGTATGCATACATGGAGGTACTTTTCTCATATTTGTGTACATGTGTGTGTATGCTCATATTTTAGCATTTAAAGCACTCTGACTGCTTTTCTATGAAATGGCGATGTACAAATAAAGGTTGAAATAAACTGAGATGAATATTTTTGCTGCACTAGAATTCCAAGCCTGACTTGCATAGCAACAGTGACCAAGGAGGGCTTGGCAAACTGTAACTGTGTCCCAATTCAGGGGCCGCATCCTTCAGGCCATGAAGGCCGAACCAAAATGAGTCCGAAAACGGTCTCACCTCTCGCTGCTCCTGTCGTCTACCAACCTTGAAAACATGCAACTTTCTTTTTACTAAAACTTGGGGTTTTAAGGCCCTTGTTGTCTTTTTTTTTTTAATAGTCGTACCATTAGCTGTTCAACTGAGCTGAAACCCTATACTTACATTTAAAATTGTAATATTCAGGGTCTCTGACGGTGTTATTTATTGTCATATAAACTTAATATCATTTTATACAATTTGAAGGAGCCTTCGAAATGGGATGCAATCAGTCTTCAAATGCAGCCTCCGAAGAATGCAGCCCCTGAATTGGGACTGCAGTGAGTGATCCTATTGTCACATGTCAACAGGAAACATGGCTGTAGATGGACACACAGTGGTAGTGTTGGCCTCTGTATAGGACATTTTCTATATTTAACCACAAGGTCACCATACCTCTCAAGCTGGCCATGTGACCATCTTGTGGTTGCTGTGTTTTGATAAAGTATTTCATTTAAAATGATGGATAATACAAGGTGAGTTTAAGAACATTTAAAATCAATTTTCAGTCTAATGGCCCACCCTCTGACATGAGAACTGGGAAATCTTATTGCTCAGTTATTAAATATATCAATTCAACTTATCATCAATTTAGTATGTGTAACACATAAATTATACAGTACTGACTGCCTCTCTTAAAAGTGGCCTTTTTTTTTGTTTACCAGATGCCTTGAGGAAAGCTGTTGAGAATTAATGTTCTGGCAATGTTCCATTCCAGCCGCATACCAACAAAATGACTTTGTAATAGGATTTTATGCCCAAGGTGGCAATAAAGTCTAATGAGGAACAGTCCTTAAAAACAAAACTGATCCTTTGCTAACAACATCATAACAATGCAAAGCTATAATAAATCTTTGTTTTGTGTAATGTGAGAATAAATAATTCTTTTGTATCCCTTTGTATCAGTGATGTTGGTGTCTGCGTTCACTGTTGCTGTAACTTTAAGATAGTTATATTTGTGAATCTGTGAAAACATCTGTCAGACTCACCTGAGACAATGCACATTTCCTCACATGATTCCAAGGTCTCGAAGTTGTTTTCGTTTCCCCCACAGCCTCCATACTCAAACAGCTCACAGAGCCCCGTGTCGATATTGAAGAAGAATCTATCCTTAATGGCCTTGCAAGGCCCTGGCTCGTCCTTTAGGGCGCACAACTCATTGAAGATGAAGAGCTCGGGCTGTGCTCCATCTGCTGAGGTGGGATGGAAAGACAACTTTTAGTACTCTGCTTCCTGTGGCGCTCTATGCTGAGAAATTTTCTTTTTTACTGGTCGGGGAAGAAATTAGGTCATAGCATCAAACTCTAACCTCAGGCTTTAAGATAAGGTAAAGTTGCATGCCAGTATAATTTCCCAAATACTTCAGTATAAGTGGTTTGACAGCTTACTGTCTTTACGCTGGGTTGCAGCGGGAGGCTGTGTGGAGGATGGTTAACCACAGAGAATGATGAGTTGTGTGACATGACTGATGAATAATTAAAAATGTGCAAACGTCATAAAAGTCAGAAATGCCACTCACATACTATTTTTTTTATATTTAATAAAATACACCTTCTGGTTTTGGCACAGGCCTACAGGTGTTTTCTTGTTCTTTTTTTGCACTTACACTGAGAGTAAGAAAAACCAGGGACCACCCAAATCCCTCCAGTACATAAAAGCAAATGCAGGCAGGTGGCAGCTGGCAGGAGAAAAAGTGAGCGAAAGCTGTGGCATTTCACAGCAGCACACGGCAGTAGTTTCCACTGCAACACATCAAGCAGACTGAGAGAATAATCTACCCTTTTGTAGGCGAGCATGTTTGATAACTAAGAGTATGGCATATATTGTGTTGGACAGGGACTGAGGTCACATTATTCATAACTGTCAAGATCAGATACTGTTGTGAACAGTTAACTCTGCACAGACATACTTCCTTGCATTCATTATCATTCATGAAGGCTGGGTCTGTCAGAGCCAGGAAAGAGGTGACATGAAACCCTCTGAGCTCGACTAACCGCTGTTGTCAATGTTAATTCACTATCTCAGTGTGCTGCTGGGAAATGGCTGTCTCTGCCCCTCATCCCTGCTGTTTTTAGGTCAGGTCTCTGTTATGTCTGGCTGTAGCGATGCAGTTACTTCAAAAACCCACTGAGAAGAGAGGGATGTCTGTCCAAAGCGATTTGCAGATGACCAAAGCTTAAGTGACAGTGTTTTTTAAAAAGCCTCTCTGCATCGCATATGTTAATATTTAATAACCTGAATGCTGTTACATCATCTCCCATTTGAAGCTCTACTTTTTCTCATACATTTGTCATCTATGGATTTCATTTTCTTGTTATGTGAGCAGTTAGTATCTAGCGTTGTGTGTGTCATGTTTTGATACAGTTAAGACCAAGACCAAAAAGCAAAATCCTCCAGTGAACTGTGATCATGTAACTTACCCCCTACACAAAGTAAAAAACGCAATATGTTAGCGTACTACATAACAAGTTTAAGCTAGCAACTGAACTCTTGAACATAGTTTGACAGAAAGGCTAAAGCATGATGTGGCTTGTGTTGGAACGTAGGGATACAGAAACTTAGTCGCAAATGTTCCACATATTGACTCTGGAGGGCTAACATGTCAACCAATAACTATTAACTCAGATTTAATTAAAATACTGCATATTACTGCTGTATAATTCACAATGTTACACATATTACTGCTGTATAACTGACTCATCAGCCAACATATCCACCAATACCTATATACAGTCTCTGCATGAAGCTATTATGGCCTTGCCAATTTATCCGTCAAGCTCTAGCACTTTGTGTCTAGTGTCTATCATTCAGCTTATACTGCAGGTAGTTTAATCATCATCCAATTCTTTTTTTTTTCCCTGGCCAGCATGGAAAACAAACATTAAATTCCCTTTCCTGTTAGGTACAAAGTTCCATCAAAACATAGCATCTAATGGGAACCACCCTGCCCTGTCCTATCAGCACAGCAGTCAACAAACAGTCCCTCTGCCAGACAAGGTAATGAGGGCAGCGGCTCACCACTACACCTCACCCTCCTGCTTCACCCATCCAATTCTAATTTATAACCAGGGATTGGGGGACACAAATCAAATACTCCCAATCTCCTTCCCTCCATCCGACCTGTGGTATTGCTACTGTTGTGGGAGGTGACCTGAGGGCAGCGGAGGCTTCTCTGCAGAGCCTTGTGGTGTTTTTTATTTACATTCTTCTTGTTGTGGCTGATAAGCAGTAAGAGACTGGGTCATCTAGCAGGGGGGGGGGGTGATATGGGTCTCTGTCAGGTACCCAGTCCTATTTTGGCAATGTAAAAACACCTCACTGCCAGTGGTGTATCAGAGAAATCTGGGCCTTGTGCTCATGTAGCCTCGGTGGGCCCGCTTCCACCTTTAATTAAATTCTCACACATTGTCACACCTGTACAAATACTTGAATCAACACAGTCAACACATGCATATATTATATAGTAGTTATTAGAGCAACCATTTCCAGTGCCAGAATATTTCACCCCTGACTCAACACAATGTAATTACCGTGTGGAGCTTTCACTATCAGAACAATGTAGAACATTATGTCATTGTAACCTGAGTATTAGCTCATGGTGGAAAGCCATTTTACTCTGGCCCCAGCACAAATTTCATAATAAAAGGCTATTGATGAGGACTTCACTGGAATGTCTGATTTGCAGCATTAAAGTTGAATTCATTTCCAATGAGTGCTAGCCCTGTCTGTTGCAACACAGAAGCAGCATGATAAAAACTTTTCATATACTTATATATCCAATATATGAAAACAGTATACATGCTGCTACTGATACCTTGACATTGTTAGCTCTATGTAGCAGCTACTGTGTTTTCTCACCATACCTGGTTTGTTAGCTAAGCCCGTTAACTAACTAATTAGCCAGCAAATTAATTTGGCTTGGGTTAACCTTAAAGCAAAATGCCTCATAGTGCTAACAGTGCTAACGGGAACGTATTCCTGCCACAGTTATTAAACCTGTATGCACCAAAGTCTCAGCTCCACAAATGCCCCACCTCTTTGCCCATTTTTGGATTAATCAGGAGCTAGACAGAGGTACTGCCAAGATGGCGATGGTGAAGCAGCCTACTCTGAGCTTCAAAACTGCTCTTAAGAAACCTGTGGGGGGTGTCACAGAGGCTATGTCCATCTTTACAGACAGTCTATGATTTTAACAAAAAGAAAATTACATGACAAATTACAGTAAAGATTTTTTGCTTAACTGTAGTTTTATTTTTAAGCTCTGTCTTTTTACACACTCAAACATGTTTGTGTAAATAAACAGCCAATCACCAGCATTATTAGTTCTTGGTCTACACATGCCTAAAGCTTATTGTCTCACTGATGATGATGAGATTTACTCATTTACTCCTTAAGTTTTGCATTTTTTTAGTTATAATGCTAATTACTTTTAAAAAAAACTGCAAAAAAAAGCCAAACTTCTCATTCCAGGTTTTCTGACAGCCTTCCCCCTGTTGTGGCCCTGGGTGCTTAGTTCCACTATTCCCCTCACTGCGACACGCCTGCTCATTATTGAGCCTCACTGAACAAACCAGAAAAATAATGACAAGTTGAGATTGTTTGCTCTGTCTTTGTCACTGGATGCTTCAAGCTACCATGGCTGCAAAAGAATCATTCCTTCTGGAGAAGAAAGTAGAGACGTGGTGCAGACTGGTCTTTGAAAAGTCTCCTCCAAATAACAATGTTCAATAATACGGAATTTGGCCGCCCAAGGAGAGGGAGGAAAACTGGCTGTTCCTATTGATTTCTGCTCCTCTTGTCTGAGATTGACCAAAGTACAATAAACAGTGTGTTCCTCAATCACTCATGTCCAATATCCAGACAGAGCCATTGGCTGGCAGTCCAAAAGAAACAGAGCAGAAGACAATGTTAAGAGGCAAATTAAAACATTTTCTCTGCAAGGAAACCAGAAATACTCCTTGGAGAACACAGAGACATGCAAACATGCACTCACAGCCAAATGCATTCACACATCTAAATAACGCCATCCCACATCTCACAAACTCGGGTGCATATGGGTAATTGTGAGCACCCATGGAGAAATCAATCATGTGAATAGTACCATTGTCCAGTGAATGGGAGTGAACAGGAGAGGTCACAGCAAGGTTTTAACTTCAAACATGTCCATTCCTATATTCAACTTTCTTGATGTCTCCCACAGTCCCTGAAGGTTTTGACCACACAGTCGATTCACACAGCAACATATAATGCATCACTTTGAATCACACAAGTTGAAGGTGTGAAGACTTGCAGTGATCAGTTACCAGCACCACCACTCAGCTGACGTCTGTGGTGGGTGATGGTAGCTGTGTTAGAGTGTGTGGATCAAATGCACACGTGCATATTATGTTTTTGTTTGTTTTTTCATAAATTATTTTATATGGTGGTTATTTGTGGTTATATGGTAATGAGCAGTTAGCAGATCTGGGACAAGCTTATATACACACAGGACTTTACTGCTAATTTCTTTTGTTAATGCAAAGTCAAAACTTCCTCCATCTTTACCTATCGTCTTGATACATTCAGTCTAATGTCCGTTTCCACAGTGCTAATTCCATTTGTACAGCAAGAGTCAGTCAATTCATTTTCACATTAAAAGGCTTGTAGCCTTGCCTTTGTAGGCAATGTGAAAAACCATCAGTGTGTTGAGTGTTGGCATGGTGGCTTAACATCAATCGGTAGTCTATGACTAGAGTTAATTAGAGTGGGAAATATCTGCTAAGTTTCTGTTAAAAATGGTGGAATTAGTGCTGAGGAAATGTACATTATACTAAATTGACCATGTCAGCTTTTGTACTAGAATATTTCAATGCTTTTTTATGCAGCCTTTATTAGCAACTTTATTTCTGTTATTTCTTCCTCCTGCCCATAAAAAAATGGCATTATGTGATCAGAATTGTTGCTACAGTGATCAGACATTAAAACAACAGGAATGAACACGTGCCATTATTTAATTTTACTGCTTTTGTTTATCCCTAAGACTCTTGCAGGCTCACATTCTCCTCACCTATGGGATGAGCAGAACTAGTAGGTATTTTTTGAAAACAAATAATTAAGCATCATGAGTTTGCAGTTTGCACTACAAATTAATTATTGAAGAGAGGGGGATTTACACACCCTTTGCAGCGGCTCTTAATGCAAACAACCTTTACGA